TTTAGTTGGATTGATGTGAGTTTGTGACCCTGGGTTTCATGCTATTTGTGATCGTGAGACAATTTTGTCCGACAATCGGAAATAGCATGAAACCTATTGTCACAAACTCACATGAATCCAACTAAATATATATATATATATATATATATATAAACACACACACACACACACACACACGGCCAAACTGACATTTTTTTTTTTTTCTATTTTAGAAACACACTCCATGTCCCCTCTGGAGAAAAATATTTATTTAATGTTGGCTGCTTCTCTGTTATTACAACAGCCTCCATAATTTGGAGTTTTTCTTTGCACTGTGTTTGATATAAAATTTTAGTGATATCTACTAAAATTTGTGTACATGCAATTTTGCTTGTCATATGTTCCTCTATAAGTGTGTGAATTGCACTAAGTTTTAACAAATGACAAGTCAACCTATGAGAGAGTGTAGTGCATGTGTGGCCAATGGAAGATTCTAATGTTGTTTATTGATTGTTAGTGTTAGAGATACAATCTCCGAAAGGATGTAAGAATTCATAAGTAACATTATTTTTAGATAGGGTAGATTTTGGAGGTGATGAATTATTTCCAAGTATTAGATTGGACGTTCTGGAGGCTGTTGTAATAAAAGAGAAGCAGTTAACATTAAATATCTTTCCCCATTAGAGAGTATATATTGAAAAATATATATATATATACACACACACACACACACACACACACAGTGTGATGGGCAAATTGTCACCATTTTATATTTTTTACTTCAGACATGCACATTGTTTGTTTTTGACTTGGCCAACTGCACAGTATATTAGGGTCATTTGGGCACTGTCTATAAGAAAAAGAGCAACTTGACTCAATTGATTCCACCAGAATTTTGAAAACAGCATGCTTTACTGCTTGGCATTTGTGCTGGAAGCTCTAATACAAACATTTTAGAGTGTTTGGATGACAAAGGATTTAGAAAGGGCTGGATGATATATCCAGTCAGCATCATGGTGTTTGGAGTGATCACTAGTGATGGCGACATTATGACACCATTCATCTTCCCACAGGGCCTCAGACTCAACATGGAGGCCTACATCAAGTGCTTTGAGGAGGTACTGCTGCTCTGGTTCAAGAAGGCGGCTGCTGGAAGGCCCTATGTCTGGAAACAGGACCCTGCACCATGCCACACAAGCAGAAGAACCCAGTCATCATGACTGTTAGACAATTTCTTCAGCCACATCACCCCTTACATCTGGCCACCTAACTCCATAGACTTCAACCAACTTGATTATTATGTGTGTAGTGCAGTTGAGTGAGAGACTAACAAAACTCCTTGTAACACCAAAGATGAACTAAAGGCAAGGATTATGTCAGTGTGAAACAATATAAGGAAAAAAAAAAGCATTATTAAGTACTGAGAACAAGAAACAAACAGGAATTAAGTAGACAGAAGATAATGATTTATATTTTTGAATATCAAACTTGACTGGAAAGAAAAAACTGGAAGATTTTCACAATTGAGAAGAGTGAGAAAAGAAAGTGTTAGCATAGCAGTTATGCTTACATTTCGCCATTTCAACTGTAAAATCTAGTACTGCATTTAAATTCATAGAGTCTAGGTACCTTAGTGGAAAGTAATATTTATTTTGATAATACAAAGATGTGGCACAAGGCCAAAAGCAGCAGATAGGAGAAGGCTAGTCCTCAGTCTGTTTTAAGCTCAGCTAGCCACAATTACTGACCCAAACACCAAAACAATACATTCTTACAGTTTTTACTACAGCCACTGTAATACCTCAAAGTCTCTATGAAGTCCTAAATAGTCCCCATATGTACAATTTGTCTCTTGGAGTTGAGGAATAATAAAAATAACTCCATTTAAAAATGAAACTCTAATAAATATTTATAATGATTATAATTTCCATTGCAGAAAGTTCGTTAGAACAATTACCATGACAGTATGCAATTATATGATTGGTCCTGACATAATGTTGCTTCCCTTTGTCTTTTCTGTAAATATTTTCATAGCATCTTCTCTGATGAGCTATTTTCTTTTGCTGTTGAAAAAGTTAAATGTAACCACTTCTTCTGCTCCAATAGTTTCTCTTGCACTTTTCACTAGTTGAACTCCCTTCCTCTTACTTGCTTCCTTGATAACTATAATCTTGAAAAATTTAAATGTAATGTCAGTCGACATCTTTTGTTGCCTTGATCCCTGTTCTTTTTATCCTCCTCTGTTCTTATTATCCTTTCCTTAATCCCCTCCCCAATCTTTTCCCTTACTTACACTCTCTGTAGCCCCTTGTGTACTAGTGGCACTTCTGCCTTGCTTGGAGTGAATTGTTTAAAAAAAAAAAAAGAAAAGAGGATTTATAGAAAAGACACAGGGAAGCTACATTACAGCAGTGGAAAAGTAACTGAAGCTGAGATGCCAGGTTAGAACCAATAACATTGCAGATTCTTCTTTGGATTTTATCAAGGATCTCTAAATATATAGCAGGAGCACATTCAAATGTTTCTTATTCTGGTGAGAAAAATTGTCTAACAGTGTGAAATAATTTTTCTCACAGCAGACCTATACACACACACACACACACACACACACACACACACACACACACCATGGCTTAATTGTTACTTGTAGAGAGCATTACTACTGAGTACTGATTTTAATCCCAAGTAGCTGCTTCACACTTATAGCCTCATGCGAAAACTAATCTAAGCTTAGTAAATAACTATATGCTTGTATTATAAGTTCTATTTTACTATTTTTAATACATAATGGCTTTGTAATATCAGTTGATAAAAAAATGTTAGAGGATTTACTCATTTTTATCACTTTTTGCTATAATTCATTGCTTTTGTAATACAGGGTGCACCAAGTATTTGAGAATACCCCTTTAGAAGATGGCATTCATGAATTATATGGCGTGTAAAAGAAAAGAAAAAAATCTCGCATTCTCATTTCTCTTTCAGATCTATCAAGGGCATTAACATTCTAATCTGGCACAGGAAATGAAAAGGCATGTTATAGTTGTGACACTCATCATCAATCACAATGACTCAAAACTGACCATGTCAATAAGAGGAATGGCCTCAAAAAATATTTACAAACTTTGGGGTTGGGTTCTTCACACTAAAACAAGGACAAAAGTCCACTTGTGCTGATACCTGTATTGTCTCCGACATTCTTTAGAATGTGTTCTTCATAGTCAGGCATACAAGTGAATCTCGGCCTTCTTCGATCCATAGTTTGTTGCGTCACGGATCCTATCTCAGTAATGCAAGTTGGATGACTTGGCTGCCTTTAGACTGGAAGCACAATCTGAGAGTCATGCAGCTTTAGTCCATTATAAAAAACATATCTGCCTGCTCATGATATGAATATCCTGCCATTGTTAAACAAAACACTTCTCAGTTAACTCACTACTACACATGTTAAACATTGAAGACAGGCTAGCCACAAATGTACACAAAAGACCAATGTAACCTAGTCTGTATGAAAACAGAGTCATCTACTGTAAGCTTTCTTTAAACTTAATAACTCAAAAACGAAGGAATTGTGGACATATGTTTATGTGGATTTTTGTTCTTGTTTTCATGTGAGGAACCCACCCCAAAAGTTTGTAAAAGTATTTTTGATACACATTGTATATAAAAGCAGTAAAACAGGCCTTGGTGTCTGCTCGAAGAAACATGTGGCAATTGATCCTTAACCACTGGAGCAAAATAACTTGACCATATGTTCCATCTGTCTAAGAGTTTGCAAAACACATGCAAGTCTTGAGAGACACATGTGTGTCCATAAAGGTTGAACACCTCTTTATTTTACTGAGACCACATTTGTTGCCAGCAACAACATAGTTCACCATTTCTAGATCATCTACAGTAAATTTGTCTAGAGCTCTTACAAAGTTTCACCTTTCTTAGCAGAGCTTCTTTTATCACAATTTGTGATATTTAATAATAAGTGTTAAAAACAAAAGCATAAGCAAACTGGTCAGACATCCCCCCCCCAAATATCTGTTTCAGCATCTTCAGTATTTCCTGTCAGTGTGTAGTTATAGCTGATGCTTGCTTTTTATATCTCCCCCTCCTCTTACTATGCATATATAATTCTATCAACAAAAATATTACTTTGGTCTGATGAAATTGTTCTAGAGGATGAAACATTTTACACAGATTTTTTTACACTTTGTCATTCATTTGCCTAAGATATATATATATATATATATATATATATATATATATATATATATATATATATATATATGTATGTAAACTTAAAGTTTGCCCTATTGAGAGGTATTTAAACTAGCTCTTGCAGAAGGCTCTTGATTAGGCCTCTATCACAATAGGTTGACAGGAGTAGATGCAATAGGCAATAATAAACTATAGAAGAACTTAAAATTGATTACTGTATTTAAATATTGCATTAATATATAAGCTTACCTTTTTAAAAGTCCAACGATAATTCTTCTGCTGCCACTTAATTTAATGACAATTTGATGTATATAGGTCCTTACTTTCCGTACAAACTATTATTTTTATTTCATGGGTGACTTTCGCTAGATTTCACAATTAATTTTATTTTAATTATTCTCAAATATATTTCCAAGTTATAAAATTTGCTATTGTACAAAGAAATTTGTTGAAAAAATCACATTAAAAAAATTGCTCCCCCACTCCTCCCAATCGCAGTAATGAAAACTTGGGATTTCCAAATTTCAGGATTGTGGGTCTGGATCTGGCTTAGAATGTTTTTAATTTGTTCACAGAATCAGCCTGATTCCAAAATGGTATGATATGTTGGGCTGCAACCTCTAGGAGTAAAGTTGAAAAAGTGTGACACACTGATATTTGCATTTATTACATAGATGTACCTGTTGAATATCTGTATTTCTTTTATATAATTATTTGTTCTCAATTACCTGACACAGTCTGGAGACAATTTTTTTTTTTTTTATTGACATTAAAGATACAATTATGAAATTTACTGTTCTTTTTATGTCCAGCTACCAAAACAGAAGATGAGCTCCTCTCAGAGCAGCAGCAGCAACAACTCTGGAATGAGATCCACTCGCAGTAACAGCGAACCAAGTAAAAGTGATAACAAACACAGCAGCAGCGGCAGCAACATCAGTATCAGCGGTAGCAAAGATACAGGAGTATTAAATACTGGAATACATGGTGGCTTAAGGAAAGGCCGAGATAGTAATGGTAAGTGAGGACAAAACTTTTTTGTTTGTTTACAGTTTCTACTTTGCACTTTTTAACAAGCACTAATGGAACTTTTTTTTTCTTTTTCAGTTTTCATTCTTTGTTTTTCAAATATTATTTCAGCTTTCTTTCTTTTTGATCTGTGTGCTTTCATGTTAGACTCTTCATTATTATTAACTTTCTGAGATCTTGACACTTTTATACAGGCAGGTACTGAAATATTCTTTTTTACCCACTTACCAAAATCAGTATTTTAATAACCAAACATCTGAATACTGATTTTTGGGAATTGGTTGAATTGACTACTTTTCAAAATTCCTTTGAGTATGCATATTTCATTGAATGATTAAAAAAGAATATTTTGTAATTTTTTTTATGAAGTTTTTTTTCTTGTGTCTTTATATTTTTTTTGAATAAAAAAATGATTGTGAGGACACATAATAAACTGAATAAAAATACTCACCAAAATATTCCTTGCCTGCATATTCAAAGAAACATGCATAAAGGAAGGATTGCTACATACATACATACATATATATATATATATATATTTGCTCTATCCCTGATATTGAGAATATCTTAAAACTATATTTTCATATATATATATATATATATATATAGTCAAAGTAGAAAACCTTTTTTTATTGACAATGTATTTTGCTTTCATAGGTAGTTAAGAATGAAAGACAAACTCCTTAACTACCTAACTATGAATTACATTGTTAATAAAAAGGTTTTCCATTTTGTCTGATTTCTCCATTTTTGTTCAGATTCTAGATCTTATTAACACTCACACACACACATATATATATATAATATAGCAATCCTATATATTATATACAATGAATTTGTCTTGAATCCTGTTTCCATCCAAAGTCATCTTTTTGCTATTTATGTGATTATCCCTTGTTTACTATTTCTGCATAGATATTCAATATAAAGTTTTGGGTACCAACCCTCCTTGATATAACTATACTTTTGTCTTGAACACAAGAAAGAATATCCAAAAAGATGTCTTTGGCTGTTTGAGATGAAGCCAACTGTATTTCCTGGTATATAAAAAAACCCTTACCCCCACCTATTTCAGTGGAGAATATTAATCAAAAAGAAAAGTTTTAATGTATCTGCAGGTGAGCATTTTACCTTTTCATATATGACCTATGGGGTATGTACTTTTGTTTTAGTAGTGGGGTCAAAAAAGGTTTTTTGTATACCATCAAATATGGCATTTAATTTTTTTTTATTTTTTTTTATTTCAAAGCACTTTTATTTACAATTTTATTTATATTTTGAAATAATCTTATGAGAAAAGTAAATTTTGTATTTTGCTCTTTTTCAAGGAAATGTTACATTTGACAGATGATGAATTATCATTAGAGACAAGTTGAACATGTTAATTATGAAAAAAAACAAATCAATTTTCAATTCCTGGTTTTTAGATTTTATACAAAACTTGATGTTTTTCTAAGTTTATTGACAGTATTACTGTCACTAGTATTTTCACTACCTGACACTATTCTGCTTGTGAATGAAATGAAGGCTGAAAATATTCAGATAAGTTGTTCAAGCTATACCATGTTGCAAACAGCAAGTATGAAATGACACTTCATCCAAACATTTTCTTTGTGTCTTTAAATAATCCTTTGCACCCTCTGATGTTGGCCATGATCCTAAATATCCACCTTGGGCAACTTTGAATCTCTTAAGCTTGATTATTTTTCATTTTTGCTAAAGGTCACTATTGTTAACTTGATTTACTTGAGTGTGTCCTCTTAGAATCTTTGCAATTGTTCCTTCTAATAATAAAGTTCAAATTCCCTTTGTTCAGAAGAAATGTTTGTTATTCTTGAATGTAAAGAGATAAATCCATAGGCTTTTGAATCTTGTTTTGTTTCATCTTTAGGTCATAATAGCATAAATATTATTCTTAACTCATGATGAGAATGTTGACTGGTTCAGTTCCAATCTTCAGATACAAAACCTGTTTTATGAATTTCATAACATTTGCATATATTGTCAATGTTAACTGAAATGGGTCAGCCTAACACAGTAACATCAGTGCTAAAGAACATCATCCTATAACAGTATAATGCTATGGTTGTTACTGTAGACCAGTTGCCTTCATATGTGATGGGTTCCTGTGTGGTTGATTAAACCAACAGAGGAATAGCACATTTTTCTGCAAAAAAAGACCTTGGGTGACAGTAGGGGAATAATTCTGCATGTGATGTCTCTGATGTCATTACATGGCCGGCTGGACCCACTTTGCTTTTGTGGTTTAAACAGTGTCCATGTCAACATATGGCCAACCTTTTTAATTGTCTAGGGCAGATATTACAGGTTGTCAGGAAGGCCCCTGATGTGGTCCCTGTATTGCATCTATTGATCACCAACAGGCTTTTTCCCCAAGTCTAATTCACTTAATACTATGGTGCACCACTCAATATGACTGTAAGTACAGCCACTACTAAGCTCAGTTTCTATTTATCCCCCTTATTTTTTCTTTTTAATCATTTCTCCTCAAAAAAGACAATAAAAGCCACTAGAATGCAAGGGATTATAGAGAATGAAAGAAACAGGACAATAAAAGAATAGACAGAAAAAGATGATGATTGACATTGCATTTAAATTTTTGAAGATTGTGGTAGATAAGAAATTGGGAATTCAGAAGATAGCAAAAAGTGTAAGAGAAGAAACTATTAGCATAGGACTTATGGTTAGAACCAGCAATTTCAACAGTTAAATTATGAAACCTAGCTGTCAATCTAATACTGTGTTTAAATTCTTAAAGTCAAATTATCAACTAGGAAAGCTCATCAAAAAAATAATTACTGTGAAAATATTTATAGAAGAGGCAGAGAGAAGTTATGGTGTGGGGAATGTGACTGAAATGGAGCTGTCAAGTCTGGACCAATAGTGTTGTTGATTTTTCTTTGGATTTTGTCAAGAATCTCAAGATATATAATGTTAACACCAGACCAGATATGGCAGTAATATTCATTGCACAAATGAAGGGTAGACTTATAAATGTACAAGATAGATTCTGGTAAGAAAAATTGTCTTGCCTGACATAGTAAACTGACTTTCCTAGCAGCAAACTTAGCAATTGATTCAATATAATCAGTTGACTTTATGTCATTGGAAAACGTAAGACCAAGAAGGTGCAGCAAGTTGCTCTCTTGGAGGCTAGGATCAGCCATGCTGATGGAACGTTAAAAAGATTCTTTAAGATGATTAATAGAGAGCAGTTTCACTTTAGTGTTGTTAAAATTAAACCAGCCACTACTTGTCTAAATTCGCAACAGATTGTAGGTAATTTTTGAGATCACCTCCCAATTTGATTTTATTAGACCTATTAGACAACTGAAGAGAGTGGGTCCAAGTTTCACCATCCATGGTTGATGTACTGTAAAACAAAAATGTAATCCAATCCAAGCTTTACCATTCTTATCTAAAGCTTGACAGACATTTTTAGCAATAACCATCAACACATTGTTGGTTGACCTAGAGAAGCGAAAGCCAGATAGTCTGAAAGAAAAAATTTGAGGTGAGATGCTTAACTCAAGAGTTGATTAGACTAGTACTTTGCCAGAGAGAGGTAGAAGACTAATAGGTTGATAGCTTGAAGCATCAAACGGTTCACCTGTGTACTTAAAACAGGAATTACAGAATAGAACAATCAGGAAAGCAAGAAACCGCAAAGAATCTATTGTAGAGCTTGGAGAGAACAGGGGACAGTTTAAGGGAACATTTCTTAAGGACAGTTGTAAGGATCGCATCAAGTCCACATTCTTTGTGGGAATTAAGTTTGGAGATGATAGCAGAAACTATGGATGACATTATATACATATAATACTGTAGAGAAGAGGCTCAGTGCTAAGTGGAAAGTCAGGCAAAGATACTGTAGATAATTCAAAAGTAGAATTGGAAGAGAATTTACAAGCAAAGCATTATACTTTATTGGCAGAACAGGATAGAACTTCAAACTGATTAAAAAGAGGAGCTCTTAATTAACACTTACAGAGCTGCCAGTAGTCATGAGGACTAAACTTTTGAGAGGTTATATGGTGCCTCATTCTATCAGTGAACAATAATTTAGCCTCTTTGAGGACATATTTGCACTTATTACAAGCAAACATAAAGAGGCGCCTGTTATGATCAGAGCTATAGCTGGAAAAAGTGATTCCTGTGGACTGTAGTGGCTGAACATGCAGCTGTGAACCAAGGAGATGATTGTGGTTTTATCTGGTATTTTGTGAGAAGGCGCAAAAAGTCTTGATGCTGGCTTTCAAGAAAAAAACTTCAGAGAGATAATTTTCAGTGGGAAGACTAAAGATTTCACTCCAAAGGGGCATTGTGAAGAAAATAATGAAATGAATCCCAATCACTTTGCAAGCAGAAAGAAGTGTTGTGAATAGGGGGTTCATACCTAATAGAGGAGTCATAGGAATATCAACAGATACTATATAATTTGATCTGAATTACTAAGAGGACTGTGTTGCAAAGCACCAAAAGAGTAAGGGTTGGAGGTAAGGAATAAATTGAGTTAGGAAGCATGTTGGTTAGAGTTATCAGGGAAATGAGTAGAGAAATCAATTAGTTGACAAGAGACTGAGCAACAGAAAAATTAAAAGTGTGAATACAAGCAACATCAGTAGTATTAGAATGATGAAGACACTTCACATGTTGAACAATAAAATTACTAAGTACAAAGATGATTGCAGCTAAAAATAGAGATGAGAACCATTTCTGTATGGTCAAATCTTATAATCTTCATTTCCTTCTACCACCTCTTAAATTTTTTATCACATGCCTCACTCAGTAACCCTCTACCATGAGTGGCTATTGAGTCTTATATTGAGTGAAAATTAGTTTAAAAAAATAAAAAGGGTAAAAATGCTAATTGCCAGCCTATATAAGCATAAATGCAATCAGTATGAAGGTACATCAGTTTGAAAACAATAAAAACATAATTACATAATCTGATATGATGAAATATTTCTATATTTTAAATATTGAATATAGATAATAAAATGTTGACTCAAGGTATGAAAAATGTACTGGCTTAAATATTGATTTTCAGATGCATATGGTTAAACTAAAAAGGAAACTGGTATATTGATTGAGTGGTGTACATAAAATCATATTTGTGAAAAGTTATTTGCATATTAGACAAAATGATCAA